AAAGGATGAACCTGTGTTGATACATTATCACCCTAAGTCAGTAGTCCACATTAGTGTTCATTTTTAGTGCTATATATTTTATGGATTTTGACAAATGATTTATGACATGTATCCACCATCATGGAATCATACAGAATAGTTTTACTGCCCTAAAAATCCTCTATGCTCTGCCTATTCATCCTTTCCCTCACCTCCCAACCCCTGGCAACCACTGATTTTCTTACTATCTACATGGTTTGGTTTTTCTAGAATGTCATACAGTTGTGATCATATGGTATGTAGCCTTTTAAAATTAGCTTCTTTCACTTAGGAATAAGCATTTAAGGTCTTTTCATGATATGAAGGCTCATCTCTTTTTAGTGCTGAAAATATTCCATTGTATATATGCACCACATTTATTCATTCCCCTGAAGAACATCTTGGTTGTTTGCAAGCTTTAGCAATTATGAGTAAAGCTGCTAAAATGTCTGTGCAGGTTTTTGGTGTGAAAATCCTCTTTTACTTTATGTTTTTATTTTCCAATTTTTCTACAATGAACGCTTTGTTCGGTTTATAATAATATTTTAAAATTCTTCTTTAAAGACATGTAGAAAGCTTTAACTCATTTTTAATTTCACTAGAATTTAGGAAATTCCTAAATTTAAGAAGATTGAATGATTAGATTTTTTAAAAGTATTCTTTGTCGGGGTTTTTTGTTGTAGTTTTCATTTTACCTTTGTTTCTTTTTTCTTTCTTTTTCTATTTTTTTTCTTTTCTTTTTTTACTTTTTTGTTGTTGTTGTTGAGACATGGTCTCCCTCTGTCTCCCAGGCTAGAGTGCAGTGGCATCATCATAGCTCACTGAAACTACAAACTTCTGGGATCAAGTGATCTTCCTGCCTCAGCCTCCCAGATAACTACGACTACAGGTGCATACCACTATGCCTGGCTATTTTAAAAAACTATTTTGTAAAGACAGGGTCTCATTATGTTACTCAGGCTGGCCTGCAACTTCTGGCCTCAAAGGATCATCGCGCCTCAGCCTCCCAATGTGCTAGGATTACAGGTGTGAACTACCACACTTGGCCTACTCCTGCTTTTAAAGTAGAAATGGAATTAGATCATTTGTGTTTAAGAAGTTCTTTTTTTTTGAGACAGAATCTGGGCTAAAGTGCAGTGGTGTCATCATAGCTCACTGCAACCTACAACTCCTGGGCTCAAATGATCCTCCTGTCTCAGCTTCCTGAGTAGCTGGGACCACACCCGGATATTTTTTTCTATTTTTGGTAGAGACCGGGTCTCCCTCTTGCTCAGGCTGGTCTCAAACTCCTAATCTCAAGTGATAGAAGTTCTCGTTTGGAATGTCAAATAATGACAATAAAATAACGTAACCAAACACATTACTTACTCTGTGCATGGCTCTGTGTTAAATCCTCATCAAGAATTACCTCATTTAATCCCCAAAGGAAGTGTGGGAACCTAATTAATTACATTTATGTTTTATGTACTTTTCTATATGTATTATATTTATAGTAAAAAAGGTTAAAAAAAGAAAAAGCAGAAGTTTTATTAATCTTTATTTAAAAATATAACTAGGTCAGGCACAGTGGCTCATGCCTATAATCTGAGTGTTTTGGAAGGCTGAGACAGGAGGATAGCTTGAGGCCAGGAGTTTGAGACTAGACTGGGTAACATAGTGAAACACTGTCTTTGAAAATCAATCAATAAAAACATAACTAGATAGAGCTTGGTTGTCTACATTCTCTGGTTGCCATTCAATCTCAAAAATAAGCACTGGAAGCATATGATAAATAATAGTTTAATGAAGCTATAATATCTATAAGGTTCTCAAATGGTTACAATATAAAATTATAAAAATTAGTAAAAGATACAAGATAGAACATATTTTAATACTGGTACAGTGGCAGTAGCACCTTTGCAAATGTTTATCTGTATGATTTCTGTAGCATTTTTCTTACGAGCTTTTATTCCACAAGAATGGTAAAATCATTTAGAATAAATTGACAGATACATGGTGTTTTATAATATTATGAACATTAAAAGTATCCCATAAAAATTATTCTGCTACAAATACTCAGCAGCTTTATTATCAGTGATTATTCCCTTTATTCTTAACATAATATAAATGCAGCTAGCAGGCTTTTAAAACAAAAACTTTTACTATTATAGAAGCAGATGCATCTCTCAACTTCACTACCTGTTTAATTTTCATCCATAAATGTCTTATAAACATAAATGTGGGTCTCATAAACAGGACTGCCTCTTAGGTACATTGTTTCCGGGTCTACTTTCCAGTCTGGTGATTTTCCAACAACACTCTATTTGGCATCTCAAAGCAATATTTATCCATGGAAATACAAGTATTTCTGGGAAATTGCTAAGTTATCTTTTTAGCCAAAGCTAACCTGAGAATATTTTAAGAATATCATGTAGCTCTTCCCTGAAAGACTAGAGAGTTCAGTAAAGATCTGAAACCCCTTGTTTCCTTTCAGTGAGGAGCTTCTATCCTTATTCGTGGAACTGCAGAGGAAGACAACAGCATCAAAGCTCATCCTGTGCCTTTAGTCACACTCACCATAATGAGAATTCCTCTTCTTCCATGTTACTTAGTACATACGTGATGGGGATCTTGGCCAAAACTTAGTAGTGTTCACTGCTAAGCAGACATATCTGGCAAACTGGGGGCTCTCAGAAATACAGTATTTGTCAACTTTGCAGAGGACTGACTGATAAGATTTCTAACTACAGGATGTCCAGTTAAATATGAATTTCAGATAATGAATAATTTTTTTAGTATAAATATGTCCTGTATAATATTTGGCACATACATATACTAAAAAAGTTATTTGTCATTTAATGGGATATATTTATAGTTAAAAGTTATTGGGCTAGGTGCAATGGCTCACACCTATAATCCTAGCACTCTGGGAGGCTGAGGTGGGCAGATCGTTTGAGTTCAGGAGTTCGAGACCAGCCTGAGCAAGAGTGAGACCCCCGTCTCTACTAAAAATAGAAAGAAATTAATTGGCCAACTAAAAATATATAGAAAAATTTAGCCAGGCATGGTGGCGCATACTTGTAGTCCCAGCTGCTCAGGAGGCTGAGGCAGAAGGATGGCTTGAGTCCAGGAGTTTGAGGTTGCTGTGAGCTAGGCTGACGCCACAGCACTCTAGCCCAGGCAACAGAGTGAGACTCCATCTCAAAAAAAAAAAAAAAATTTGTTGTTTATCTGAAATTCAAATTTATTTGGATATCTTATATTCGTACTTACTAAATCTGGCAATCCTAGACTGGCGGGACAATAAACTGATATAGCTTTTGAATACATAGGCTGATGAGGACAGGGAACCAGGTCTCACAGTGAACTCAACATGGACTTCAGAGAAACCTTGGCAAGGCATTGTGGAAAACATAGGGTTCATAAATTTTTATTTAGCTGCATGAATGTGGACAACAGATATAAAAATAAAGAATATCTCAGACTTCAGTGAGCCAGATATAACTACCTACCTAAGGTGTTACAAATTATACATTCTAATTTTTTTCTTTTAGAGATGGGGTTTCTCTTTGTTGCCCAGGCTGGAATATAGTGGCTGTTCACAGGCATGATCATTGCGCATTACAACTTAGAACTCCCTGGCTCAGCAATCCTCTTGCCTCAGGTGTGTACCACTGTGCGTGGCTACAGTCTAATTTTTAAGGTCACATTGGGCCTTTCACTTCAGATCATTTTAGAAAATAGTTGCATTTGAATGGAGGATGATCTTACCTCTTAATTGTTTACAAAACAATTATAGAAATAAAATCTCTCCAGCTGACACAGAATTCAAAAGAAAATCTAGATGGTCTTTTTTATTGATCAAGTTTGTAGTAATCAATGCGTGTGCATTACAGGCTGCAATACTTTTCTTTTCTTCATTTTTTTCCTTTTTTTGGAGACAGGGTCTTGCTCTATTGCCCAGGCTGGAGTGTAGTGGCCCATCATAGCTCACTGTAACCTCAAATTCCTGGGCTCAAGTGATCATCCTGCCTCAGCTTCCCAAGTAGCTGGAACTATCAGCACATAGCACTGCAACCAGCTAATTTTTAATTTTTTTTTTTTTTTTTTTTTGAGACAGAGTCTCACTTTGCTGCCCAGGCTAGAGTGAGTGCCGTGGCATCAGCTTAGCTCACAGCAACCTCAATCTCCTGGGCTTAAGCGATCCTCCTGCCTCAGCCTCCCAAGTAGCTGGGACTACAGGCATGCGCCACCATGCCCAGCTAATGTTTTGTATATATATTTTTAGTTGGTAATTAATTTCTTTCTATTTTTTAGTAGAGACGGGGTCTTGCTCAGGGTGGTTTTGAACTCCTGACCTCGAGCAGTCCGCCCGCCTCGGCCTCCCAGAGTGCTAGGATTACAGGCATGAGCCACCAAGCCCGACCCTAATTTTTAAATTTTTTATAGAGATAAGGTCTTGCTACATTGCTCAGGATGGTCTCAAATCCCTGGCCTCAAGTGCTCCTCCAGCCTTGGCTTCCCAAAGTACTGGGATTACAGGCATGAGCCACTATGCCCAGCCTAATTTTCTTTTTATTTATCTGAGAATACTCAGGATGAACAGGAATTAGGTTACTTTCTTAATGTCATAACTGCATCCATACAGTACCAACTGGAGTTATCTAGCTAAATTTGAACAACCTCTCTAATAAATTGGGTGATTCCAGGATAAGCATCACTTTGGACTGCATTTTCCAATCTGGTTCTCTTGCTGATTATGCAAACAAGAAAATATCCAAATACCTGTACCTGTACCTACTTTATACCACAGTCTATGTGGGCTCCATATATACTCTAATTCTTCAAATTGAATTACATTAATATATTTATAACACCTTATTACATTTTAAAAAAAGGATTTAGGTGATTTTATCTGTATATTTTAGTTTTTTGGTTTTTTTTTTTAGAGATGGGATCTCACTATGTTGCCCAGGCTGGCCTGGAACTCCTGGGCTAAAACAAAACTCCTGCCTCAGCCTCCCAAGTAGCTGGGATTACAGGATCCCACCACTGTGCCTGGCTTGGTATATTTTATGGATCATCACATGGAGTTAGGCAGAGTGGCATCAGTTTTGTTCATCAAAGCTGCTTGTAGAATGTGGTAGAGCTTGAGATGGGCTTCTAGGATGAGCCAGCTATAAAAAGAAAAAGAAGTTCCAATTATAATATGAGTCATGTTCCCATGGCCAACACAACTCTCCTTCCTCAACAGAACCCAGATTTTTTTGCATGGCAGCATTGCAACTTTTCCCAGTTTCCCTGATGTAATCGGAAGTTCCTGGATAAGGCCTCTATTATTATTGTTGTTGTTGTTATTTTTAGAGATAAAGTCTTGCTGTGTCACCCAGGCTAGAGTACAGTGGCATGATCATAGCTCACTGCATCCTCGAACTCCTGGGCTCCAGTGATCCTCCCACTTCAGCCTCTTCGTAGCTGGGACTATAGACATGTGCCACCATCCCTGGCTAATATTTTCTTTTTCATTTTTGTAGAAAACAAGGTCTTGCTATGTTGCCCAGGTTGGTCTCCTATTCCTGGCTTCAAGTGATCCTCCCACCTCAGTCTCCCAAATCACTGGGATTATAAGCATGAACCATTGGGCCAGCTCAGGACCTCTTTAAAGAGATGAGGGGTAAATTAGATAACACACCCTTTTGCCTTTTGCCTTTCTCCTTCTCTTGCCTAGAATGTGGACATGAGACTTCAGGAAGTGTAGCAATTTTGTACCGTGAGGATAAGAACCACACATTAAGGGTGGAAGAACAGTGATGACATGGTGAAGCTACTGTACTGGTTGTAAACTTCCTACTTCTCAAAGAAATATTTAGGTAAGAAAAACAAGTCTCTATTTGATTAAGCCACCACAGTCAGATTTCAATTTCTGTTACTGATAGCCAAATATAAAACCTAACTGATATAGCTGCTTCAAAGTTAAAGGAAAAGGGAAGCCTAAGGGGTGGGTGCGAAAAGTCATTCTATGTTAACAATTTTTACTAGATATCCTCCTAGGAAATGGATTTTTGGCAGCAATGACATATGGTATAGGTCTTAGCTGTGGTTTTTGTTGTTGTTGTTCAATATGTGGGTTTATTGTTTACTATATTTTTATTTGTTTCCATAGTTCCCAGCCTACTGTACTTAGTTATAGGGCAGGGCAGTGACAACAAGGATCCTAGAGAAAGGAAGGGGCTAACACCTTCAATGAGGGTTCTTCCCTTTGCCCTTGCCCTTCACAGTTTTTGGTATAATCAAGGAATGTGATTGAGGGTAAACTACTATTGCATGCTCTAAGAGGAGGAAAGAGGAACCTGGCCACACCTCCAAAGAAGGCTGTACACTGTCCAGGAGGAAAAAGTTGATTGACAAGAGAGAAATCATGCTGTTCCATAAAAGGCACTAATTCTTATGGAGGGAACAAAGGGAAGACAGTGCTGGGGTGGGGTGGAGAGTGTTGGCAGGAGAGTCTGTGGTGTATCTCTGCTGCCAGAGGGAGAAGGAAATATAAGGTTCAAAGCCAAAGAGGCCAGCAGCCCTCTGTCCTAGAACTCCAGCAGGGGCGGTAGAAGGATGGCTGCTCATCCCGGATCCAATGATAGAAGTGATCATGGAGATGACTAACACCAACAGGGTTTGGTAAAAATCACACCAAGGCCAGCTAATCTACTGGAATTTGGTGTGTGGGTCATAAATGTAGGTGACAAAGAAGAATGCTACCAAGACCTTTTCCTATCAATCCTGCATCCCTGCATGGTCTGATTCCTGTCTACATCTCTATCCCTGTCTTTCACCACTGTCAGATTCCTGCTCTGCTCTGCTCTGCTCTTCTCTTCTCTCTTTTTTTTTTTTTTATTCCTTTTTTTTTTTCCATTTTCAGTTGGCCATTTAACTTTTTTTTTTTTTTTTTTTAGTAGAGACAGGGTCTCGCTCTTGCTCAGGCTGGTCTTGAACTTCTGAGCTCCAACGATCCCTCTCCCTCTCCCTCCCTCCTCTCCTCTCCCTCCTCTCCTCTCCTCTCTCTCTCTCCTCTCTCCTCTCCTCTCCTCTCTTTCTCTCCTCCCTTCCTTCCTCTTCCTTCTTTCTCTCTCTCTCTCTCTCTTTTTTTTTTAGACAGGGTCCCACTCTATCACCCAGGGTAGAGTACAGTGGCATCATTATAACTCACTGCAACTTCAAACGCCTGGGCTCAAGTGAATTTCCTGCCTCAGCTTCCTGAGTAGCTGGGACTACAGGTACATGCCACCATCCTTGGCTAATTTTCCTATTTTTTGTGGAGATGGGATCTGGCTATGTTGCCCAGGCTGGTCTCAAACTCCTAGCCCCAAGTGATCTTCCTGTTTTGGCCTTCCTAAGTAGCTGGGATTACAGGTACATGCCACCATCCTTGGCTAATTTTCCTATTTTTTGTGGAGATGGGATCTGGCTATGTTGCCCAGGCTGGTCTCAAACTCCTGGCCCCAAGTGATCCTCCTGCTTTGGCCTCCCAAAGTGCTAGGATTACAGGCATGATTCACTGCACCTGGCCAGGCTCCCTCTCTATGTTACAGGCACACTTGTCACCTTACAGTTCCTTGGATAGGCCATGACCCCTCCCACTATGGGACCCTTACACATGATGTACTTTTTGCCTAGAACTCTTTCATTCCTGACTTCCATGGTGGATCCATCCTACCCTATACTCCACAGTTAACCCTATACCTTTCCCAGTTAACGTCTATTTATCTTTCATCTCTCACCTCAAGCATCATCATTTCCTAAGGGAAGCTTTCCTAGATCATCCAGGCTAGGTCAAGTTCCTCTGCAGGTTCCCACAGAACTTTGTTCCTTTCCTCTACAGAATTTATTGCAATGCATTATAAAAACATGGGATTATTTGATTAATGTCTGTTTTCCCCACTGGACTGAAAGCTCCAAAACAGTAGATCTGTGTCTGCCTTTGCTTACCACTATATCCCCAGTACTTCAGCACAGTGCCTAGGATATAGAAAATGCTTAATAAATACTTACTAAAGGAATTAATAAAATGAGACATTTATTGATAAAAATAGAGATGATAATCCTAGGTATATCTCATAGAATTTTATAAAGCCTAAATATGAAAGTGTTTTACAAAGCATTTAAAAATTATTAGGATTACTAAAAAAAAAACTGCTTTGAATTGCGATTCTAAATAAATTATTTTCAAGAAAAGGAACCATTTTTCCCCCTAAAGGTTTACCTGAAACTTTCTCCTCAAGGCCCTGGTCATTACTGGGGTCAGTCCAGTTCCTGTGTCCATATTTTCTTTATTGGTAAGGGGGGTACCACCTGGGCTCCTGCAAAGGTATTGAAAATATCATTAGTTGTGTTTCATTCCAACTTTGAAAATGGATTTAGAAAGCATAAAAACAAGAGAATGTATTACCTCTCTACGTCGACTTTTCTAAGCAGTTTGCGCAGATCTATCTGGCTTTTACTAGGAGTACTAATAAAATAAAGATATAAAAATTGAAACTTGCCAGATTTTATCATTTTTTCCCCCAAAGCAAAGCAGCCATTTCTATAGGCAATGTCCTAGAAAGTAGTTCTATTCATTACATTAACTACCATGTGAGTTGTATTTAACTCATGCTAGTTTTGAGCCGAGGGCCTCATGAAGCATATGTAAATCACATGTCTCTTCACCTTGGGAGCTGCGTGAACTATTTTTTAAGTTGCATATAACTAACTCACAGAAAACAATAAAAAATAACATAGTTTTCATTAAATTAGAAAGGATCATTTTGTTTTTGAAGTTTTTATTCTATTTTTATAATAAAGCACTGTGGCCCCAAGGAAAAATTTTTTTTTCTAGTGTGGCAGTCAATGTGTTAAAAAGTAGCAGTAGATGCTGATGGGAGCATAAGGTGATACAACCATTCTAATAAGTAATACTTCTTGATGTGGTAATTACACTTATAAGAATCCATCCTAGGAAAAAGTCAACTGTGCACACAGATGATGAACAGGATGTTTGTTGAAGAGCTATAGAAATTAAAAATCATAAACAACCTAAGTGTCTCCAAACAAGATTGTATCTATGAAGTTTACATACAATGAATTGCATATATTGAAGAAGTCAAATGATACTTTAAGCTAATTTTTAATAAGATGGGAAAAAGTTCATGACATATTAAATGGGAAAAATGTTATTGTATCTACAATGATTATATACAGGCACATAAATACACATATTCCATTTTTTGTTTTTTTTTTCTTTTAAGAGATGGGGTCTTGATCTGTTGTCCAGGCTGGAGGGCAATAGTGCAATCATAGTTCACTGCGGCCTCAAACTCCTGGGCTTAAGCAATTCTCCTGCTTCAGCTTCCTGAGAAGCTGGGACTACAGGTGCATGCCACCATGCTCGGGCAATTAAAAAAAATTTTTTTTAGGCCGGGCGCGGCGGCTCACGCCTGTAATCCCAGCACTCTGGGAGGCCGAGGCGGGCGGATTGCTCGAGGTCAGGAGTTCGAAACCAGCCTGAGCAAGAGCGAGACCCTGTCTCTATTAAAAATAGAGAGAAATTAATTGGCCAACTAACATATATAGAAAAAATTAGCTGGGCATGGTGGCGCATGCCTGTAGTCCCAGCTACTTGGGAGGCTGAGGCAGCAGGATTGCTTGAGCCCAGGAGTTTGAGGTTGCTGTGAGCTAGGCTGATGCCACGGCACTCACTCTAGCCTGGGCAACAAAGCAAGACTCTGTCTCAAAAAAAAAAAAAAAAAAAAAGTTCTGGGATTACAGGCTTGAGGCACCACACCCAGCCAACATATTCCATATTTCCTTCATTCCAAGACATACTAGTTTTCATATTTTATTCTTTCAGAAATTAGACTATTTTTAAAAATTCTTCATAGTATTTCTTTTCTCCCAAAATGGTACTAAATCAATGATGTATTTTATAATAAAAAGTTAGAAATAAGCATAAAATCATTCTTTTAAGTAATAGTAAAGCATAGTGCTGTGCTTTAAGACTTACATTAAGACGTTTGTAACTCGAGTTGATAACACTTTGGAGTTAGGTTTCAGGGTAACACGCTGCAGGTCAGAGACAGTAACTAGTGGATTCCGTGCCTTCGGTGATGGTACAAGCTTTAATTATAAAATGAGACATTATTAAAGACATGTTTTAAAACATCACTGAAAATATAAACATGTGCCAAAACAGCAAATATCTGAGTGCTAAGTATGCATAAGACATATCTAATACTCTACCCAATTTTTATTCCAAAGTTTCAAAGTATGTCTTTACCTTTTCAGACTAATGGTTGGGAGATAAAGCTGTGTAATTAAATAATTTTGGGATCTACACATTTTTTTTTGAAGAGATCCAAAAGTACTAAAATAAAATATCAAACACTTAACTTGGAATGACTTCTATACATAAGGCTTATGATTATTTTTCATAAAGGGACAATCAGGTTAAAAGCAGAAAGGCCACGTATATGGTCAATGACATCTTACCTTCCTCCTTTCATCAAAACCTTGTGTCTTCTTTAATTTCACAGTGAGTAGATCTTTAACTGTTATCTGCATGGGTCCATCTTTTTTTAATGGTCTAGTCTTAAAATATGCGGACAAGTTAGAATTCAAAATGGAATGAGGACAATTGGTGAAATGCAAACCAAAATCTAGTTTTTAAAGACTCAGAGTTAAGAGTCTACTGGCCATACCAATCAGAACGTGCCTGATCTTGGAAGCTAAGCTGGGTCAGATCTGGTTAGCACTTGAATGGGAGAGTTAAGAGTAACTCTTATTTACCCTAGGAACCTATCAAATTCTTTCCACTTAACTAACAATGATCCTGTTTTCAGTATCCATGGATGCCAAGGCTACTGAAAAGTATTCATCAAAATATAAGTCTTTGATAATAAATAAGAGATGGGCTAGTTCCCTGCAATAATAAATCTTTCCCAGGAGTCATTATAATAAGATGGGACTGAAGGAATTACTCAGATGAAAGTGAACTTTTGCCTCAAATGCCTAGCAAGATGACATGGTTCCCACAGAGTTAAGAATGTATAGTCAGAGAGGTATACATTAGGGCAAATATAATAGGCTCTGGATTTAACTCAGCTATTTTAAACCAAATGTATCTCTGCACTGGGCGCAGTGGCTCATGCCTGTAATCCTAGCACTCTGGGAGGCCGAGGCGGGTGGATTGCTCAAGGTCAGGAGTTCGAAACCAGCCTGAGCAAGAGTGAGACCCCGTCTCTACTATAAATAGAAAGAAATTAATTGGCCAACTAATATATATAGAAAAAATTAGCCGGGCATGGTGGCGCATGCCTGTAGTCCCAGCTACTTGGGAGGCTAAGGCAGAAGGATCGATCGCTTGAACCCAGGAGTTTGAGGTTGCTGTGAGCTAGGCTGATGCCACGGCACTCACTCTAGCCTGGGCAACAAGGTGAGACTCTGTCTCAAAAAAACCCACAAAAAACCAACCAACCAAACAAACAAACCAAATGTATCTCTGGTGAAAATTCAGCAGATTTTAAAACAGGGTCATGCCTACCTTAATGATTCACAAATATTCTAGTCCCCTCGGCAGATAAATAACTGCATGGAGAACTGGTTCTCTAGCTTAATGACATGAAACTTTAGAATCCACCAACTCCTTTTCTTCTGATTTCACTCACTAAGCAATCTTATGTTCTTAATTGTATTTCCTAAGGAAGTTTTTCTTTTGGTAAAAAGATATGCTGAGACGCCAATAAGAATCTTCTACTCTACACTCTGATATTTCATACACATCACTTTCATTTTTAAATCCAGCTTTTGTAAGTTCCCTGGGGACTGAGTTTTTAAAAACACAATAATTAACATAATTAAGAATCAGAACAAAATATAGTCTTCCAGTCCAAGCCCTTAGACCAGCCTTAAATGGCCAGTTTGCTTTATTCCCATATTACACACTGAGCCAAACACCCCATTACTAGACTGTTTCCTACCTGAAGTGCTTTAGTGAGGTTGGATTTTCTGAGCAGCAAAGGTGCTAGTGGTGGTGGGGGAGGAGGCAGAGGAGGAGGTGGAGGGGGTGGTGGTGGCGGTGGAGGTGGAGGTGGAGGAGGAGGAAGATAGCTGGCTGGCTGTGGTGGCGTGGGAGGAAGTACAGCTCCAGTTCTGGATTCTCCAGGGGTGGTGAGAGCACAGGCAGGCACAGTTGTACTATTCATGTGACACCTTTGACCACAGCTTGGACACGAAGAACTTTCTGAGATGGCCTGGAAAAAGACATTATATTTTACAAATTAATTAATACATTCAACAAGTTAACTTGATTCTTGCAGCTGAAAGTCATCAAAATAATAGCTACTGTGTATTGAATGCTTTCTTACTGTACCATGAGCTGCACAATATTTTCTCATTTAATTATCACAAGTTTCTTCATTCATTCATTCATGTATTTGTTTCATATGTGCTATATGTCAGGCACTTTGGGTACAATGTCATCCCTGTCACCTCATGGAGCTGATAGTCTGGTGAGGGAAGACAGATATTAAACACACACACACAACATAATACTTCAATAGAACAATGAAGTGTGCTGTGAGCATGAATAGCTAGAGGCTTGGGGAGTGATATTTAGTCATGATCTCAAGGGTGAATTGAGACTTACCAGGTAAAGCAAGATGAGGACTAAGGGAAGAGTTCCTCCCAGAGGGAAAAATATTTAGTGTGGTCAAGATTATAGTACCTTCAAGAAACTGATAAAAGGCCAAGAGGCTGGAACGTGACTGTTGTAGACTGAATTATGTCCCAAAGTTCATAAGTTGAGTCTTAATATCCAGAACTTCAGAATGTGACTGTATTTGGAGATAGGGCCTTTAAAGTGCTGATTAAATTAAAATGAGGCCATTAGGGTGGGTGCTAATCCAATCTAACTGGAGTTCTTATAAGAAGAAGAAATTTGGACATGCACAGAGACACACAGAAGGAAGACCATGAGAAGACAGACATCTACAAGCCAAAGAGAGAGCCTCAGAAGAAACCAACCCTACCAACATCTTGATCTCAGATTTCTCAATTCCAGAACTGCAAGAAAATAAATTTCTGTTATATAAGCCACCCAGTCTATGATACTTTATTATAGCAGCCCTAGCAAATCAATGCAATGACCCTATGAAGTAAAATGGTTATTAATTTCCTGTGACTGCTGTAACAAATTGTTACACACTTAGTGGTTTAAAACAATTGAAATTTATTTTCTCACAGTGCTGGAGTCTAGAATCTGGAAACTAAGGTGTTAGCAGGGCTGCACTCCCACCCAAGGATCTGGGGAAGAATCAGTTCCTTGCCTCTTCCAACTTCTGTCAGCATTGCCTGGTTTGTGGCTGCATACTCCAGTTGGTCTTTGTGGTCACACTGCTTCTCCTCTGTGTGTGCTCTCCTCTGTGTGTCTTTTTTTTTTTTTTTCCTGGATACCTCTTAGACAATGTGTGTCTCTCTTACAAGGACACCTGTTATTGGATTTAGAGTCCACCTGGATAATCCAAGTGATCTCCTCATCTCAAAATCCTGAACAAAATTACATTTGTTAAGACCCTTTTCCCAGGCTGGGCACAGCGGTTCACACCTGTAATCCTAGCACTCTGGGAGGCCGGAGGCTGAGGTGGAGGATTGCTTGAGCTCAGGAGTTCAAGACCAGCCTGAGCAAGAGCGAGAGTCCACTGTAAATAGAAAGAAATTAGCCAAACAACTAAATAGAAAATATTAGCCAGGTATGGTGGCACGTGCCTGTAGTCCCAGCTACTCGGGAGGCTGAGGCAGGAGAATTGCTTGAGCCCAGGAGTTTGAGGTTGCTGTGAGCTAGGCTGATGCCACAGCACTCTAGCCTGGGCAACATAGTGAGACTCTGTCTCAAAAAAAAAACAAAAAACAAAAAACCCTTTTCCCAGATAAGGTAATATGTATAGGTTCTGGAGATTAGGACCTAAACATACATTTTTGGAGGCCACTATTCATTCAGTCCCCTACAGATGATACAGAGGAGTGAAATGACTTGCCTTTTTCTCTTATGGCTAGTTCATCTTGAGGTACAAGTTCTGGGACCTGAGGAGGAATTCCAGAAGCTTCTCTCCAGACCAATAAGCATAATTTTAATACACTGAGAACAGGGGCCTTGCTAGAGAGTTTAAACATACCCCTATTTATAGGCTTCCCGCCACCCCCCCCCCCCCCGCATGCTTCAGTTAAAAAAAATAGAAACCACTCTGAGAATTTAAAAAAGGGAGGATGTAATAAAGGGAATTGGTTACACAATTCTTGGTTACAAGGTCTTCTATAATGGAAGACCTGAGAAGCACAAAGGGGACAATGAGGTAGTCCAGAGATTAGCAACAGCAGAAAGCCACTAAGACCCTGAGGCTGAGGGACAAAGGTTAGAGGTGGTGTATCCAGAGGTTTGGAACTGGGTTTATGCAGAGAATCAAACACAGAAGATTTATGTAGTGGGAGCTGGGGTCAGGGAGATAATAATCACTATTGGTGAAGTAATCACCCAACACAAAGGATGGGGAGAAACACCTTGTCTTCTTCCTCTCTCTAGTCTCTCAGTGTCTCCCAATATCCCAGCATAAGCAGGAGCCAGGGGACATAGAGCTTGGGAAATGTAGCTGCAGGGGTCAGACCACTGAGGTGGGGCAAACAAGTACAGGGACTAGCACTTACCTGTGCCATTCGTCCTTCTTCTGGTTTCTGCACGCTGGGTTTCTGATACAGGACAACCCCTTCCCTCTCTCACTCCACATGATCAGGTGTGGATACCCACTAAAGGATATAATGCAGGCCAAGTTCTCTATGCTAAAGTTATTCTGGTATGAGAGTAAGAATCTGAGGCTGCCAGCAGCCATGTTGCTACCACAACAGAGAGTCTGTCAGAGAAGTGACCATGCACAAAAGAAGGTAGAACGAGAAGATAAGGACTAAGCCAAGATGTTGACAACATCATTTGAGCCTCTGGATCTAGTTATATCCTAGATTTATTGGTTATATGGGCTTAAGTCTGGTTTCATTGTATTTTTGTCACTCATGGCTAACAAGAATTTTGACAGACACAGCCTTCTAGGAGCATTCTTAGGGAGTGAAATAACATGAGCTTCATTCTGTAGTCCTACATGACGTTCCTCCCTAATATGTTTGGATTAGTGATTTGGGGTTAATATAAAAAAGAAGCTGAAATAGGAGAAAAGTCATGAAAGTTAAAGAATGTGTGTACTACAAGTAAAAGAGAAAAGGGAAAGTTTATAGAATTATTTCTCTCTCTCTCTCTCTCTCATTCTAGGCTTTTAAAAAATTTATTTTTTTTTTTGAGACAGAGTCTCACTTTGTTGCCCAGGCTAGAGTGAGTGCTGTGGCTTCAGCCTAGCTCACAGCAACCTCAAACTCCTGGGCTCAAGTGATCCTGTTGCCTCAGCCTCCCGAGTAGCTGGGACTACAGGCATGTGCCACCATGCCCAGCTAATTTATATATATACTATATATATATATATATATATATATATATACTAAAATTAGTTGGCCAATTAATTTCTTTGTATAGTAGAGATGGGGTCTCGCTCTTGCTCAGGTTGGTTTAGAACTCTGGAACTCAAAAGATCCGCCTACCTCGGCCTCCCAGAGAGCTAGGACTACAGGTGTGAGCCACCGCACCCGGCCAAAAATTTAATTTTTTTAAGAGGATGAGTCTCACTATGTTGCCCAGGCAAGACTTAAGCTCCTGGGTTCAAGCAATCTGCCTGCCTCAGTCTCCCGAGCAGTTGGGACTATAGGCATGCACCATCATGTCTGGCTAAAAATATTTAATTTTTAAAGTCTGAACTTTAAAAACAAAAGTGATTGAACACTACCTAGCTAACAGCAGCAAAACTGCCTAGACAAGACGTTATAAAATCAGCTTATGAATAGAATTCCTAGAACCAAAGTCTCAAGTGGTTGATTAATTTTATTTATTATTTCTTTTTTAGTTTTTCCATCTCCCTTACATAAGATCATACTTTTTTATTTTTTAGAGACAGAGTCTCACTCTGTTACCGGGCTAGAGTGCCATGGCAATCAGCCTAGCTCACAGCAACCCTCAACTCCTGGGCTCAAGCAATTCTCCTGCCTCAGTCTCTTGAGTAGCTGGGACTACAGACACATACCACCATGCCCAGCTAATTTTTTCTATTTTTAGTAGAGATAGGGTCTTGTTCTCACTCAGGCTGGCCTCAAATTCTGCTGCTCAAGTGATCTTCCTGCCTCCCAGAATGCTAGGATAACAGGCATAAGCCACCACTCTGCCTATTTTATGTTTTAAAAATGATTTCCTAGGCCGGGCGCGGTGGCTCACGCCTGTAATCCCGCACTCTGGGAGGCGAGGCGGCGGATTGCTCGAAGGTCAGCGAGTTCAAAACCAGCCTGAGCGAGACCCCGTCTTCTACCATAAAAATAGAAAGAATTAATTGGCCACTAATATACTATAATATAAAATCAGCCGGGCATGGTGGCTCTGCCTGTAGTCCCAGCTACTCGGGAGCTGAGGCAGAGGATCGCTTGAGCCCAGGAGTGTGAGTTGCTGTGAGCTAGGCTGCACGCCACGGCACTCACTCTAGCCTAGGCAAGAAAGCGAGACTCTGTCTCAAAAAAAAAATAAAAAAAAAAATAAAAAAATTAAAATGATTTCCTATATTTTTTTTTTTTTTTTTTTGAGACAGAGTCTCGCTTTGTTGCCAGGCTAGAGTGAGTGCCGTGGCGTCAGCCTAGCTCACAGCAACCTCAAACTCCTGGGTCAGCAATCCTTCTGCCTCAGCCTCCGAGTAGCTGGGACTACAGGCATGCGCCCACCCGGCTAATTTCTATATATATATTTTGGCCAATTAATTTCTTTTATTTATAGTAGAGACGGGTTTTGCTCTTGCTCAGGCTGTTCGAACTCCTTGACCTCGAGCAATCCACCCGTCTCGGCCTCCCAGAGTGCTAGGATTACAGGCTTGAGCCACCGCGCCCGGCCCTATATTTGTTATTGAATAGATATTACATGCACAGGGTACAAACTCAAAAGATGCAAAAGGGTTTACAATGCAAAAGGGTATACAATACAAAAAGGAAGTCCCTTCCCACCCTGACCCCAGCAACCCACTGTTTCTACACAAATGAAAACAATATTACCAATTTCTTGTATATTAGGGTGGAATAATTTTCTATATGTTCCTTCATCCTTCCTGGGACCCAAGAGGCTTTATTATATATATAGATCCCATGTCAGTGCTCCCTGGCCCCCTGGCTTCTAGATCAGAATAGAGAAGGAAAGGTCCTATAGGGGCTCTCTGGCAGGATGGCTGGATCTCTTAAGGAAAAGTTCAACTCCTCGCAGAAAGATCTTTAGGGTCTCCAGGTTCTGATAACCTTTCTCTCTTCTTGCCCCTACAAGCCTGGGGTGGTAACAGAGTTCTGCTTTTGCAAGTCCCAGAGTAATATCATGATCCTTCGTGTTTCTCTACATTCTGTCCATAACTTTACAAATAGTTCCTTTATTAAACTCTCTTCAAATTATCTTGAGTGTGTCGTTTGTTTCCCTGTTTCCCACTGGGTCGCTGACTGAGTCTAGGTCAGGTTACTGACCTGATAGAGTATCTTTACAAAGGCATTTTTTTGCATATACAGGCACATAAGTGTGTATATAATACTTTATAAATACATGTTTCTATGTATGATTAAAAGTCTGTATATTTTAATCACACATGGGTACATCATATAAACATAGATTGTCTTTTTTTTTTGAGACAGAGTCTCACTCTGTTGCCTGGGCTAGAGTGCCGTGGCATCAGCTTAGCTCACAGCAATTTCAAACTCCTGGGCTCAATAGATCCTCCTGCCTTAGCCTCCCGAGTAGCTGGGACTACAGGCATGCGCCACCATGCCCAGCTAATTTTTTCTATATATATATTAGTTGGCCAATTAATTTCTTTCTATTTATAGTAGAGACAGGGTCTCACTCTTGCTCAGGCTGGTTTCGAACTCCTGAGCTCAAGCAATCTGCCCGCCTTGGCCTCCCAGAGTGTTAGGATTACAGGCGTGAGCCACCACGCCCGGCCTGATTCACTCTTAAGTGAAGTTGAACACCTGCTTATGTATTTAAGATCCATTGTATTCCACTTTTTTTTTTTTAATTTTAGGAGATGGGGTCTTGATATGTTGCCCAGGCTGGCCTCCAACTCCTATAGCTGGAATTATAGAAGTGTGCCACCAGGCTTGTATTCCTTTTTTTGGGTGAACACTATGCTCGGATTATTTCCCCATTTTACTACTGAGTTGTTGGTATTTTTTGTATTGATTTGTAGAAATTCTTTATATATTCAAGAAATTAATCCTTTTTGTGATATTTGAGCAAATATTTTTCTCAGTTTTTAAATTGGTTTGTTTTATAGTATCTTTTGCCATGCATTAATGTTTGATTTTTATATCTGAATAGTTATTTAAAAATTTACAAGCAGCATTCAGAGAACAAGCCTATGATATATAAAAAAAAAAATACAAGCAGCAGAGCCTAGGAGTTTGTGTCTAAAAAAAGAGGTGGAAATAGCTTACTATAAAGAACCATCCTTTTCCATATCATTTAGATAGACTTATGGATAACCTCCTTGTTTATTTATGACAAGGCCAGACACAGACCCTCCAAATTCCCACTGTTTGTCTCATAAATGATTACCTGAACCATTTCTTTTCTTTTTTTTCTTTTTAATAGAGAGGGGTCTTGCTCTTGCTCAGGTTGGTCTCGAGCTCCAAGCTCCGGAGTTCAAGGGATCCTCCCATCTCGGCCTCCCAGAGTGCCAGGATTATAGGCGTGATCTACTGCATCCGGCCTACCTGACCTGTTTGTTTTCACTGACCAACCTGAATAAAATATCTACTAACTTGACTTGGCCAAAGTTTAGTCAGGCTTTACCCCTTCCCATAGACCCTTGGATCTTGATCTACCCTTGGGCTTAAGCAAATTGGAAAGTTAACCAACCTTTCATATGAAGAAGTGGTTGACCTCAGGGAAAAAAAATGTTTCCTGGTCAGATCAACTGTCTGATCAGATCACCATACCTGTTCACCCCACTTCCCCACACTTGGTTCTTTCTAGCCATGTTTACTCCTCACTATAAAAGAAAAGCTCTTTCTGCCTGATGTTTGAGATGATTATAAATCTTATGACTAGAACCTTTTCCCTATTGCAATTGTCTTACCTAATTCCAGATTTGCTTTTTATTTGATAATACTAACCTTCAGTGCTTCCTGGAGCTTGCATAATTCACTTTCCAAAATGCAAAACTGTTGTTTTAGACCCTGAAGTTCTCGGTGGCAGATACGAGATGGAAAGATGGTATCTTTCAATACTTCTAAACTCTGAAATTCATAAATAGACAAACCTGAATCCCATGAACAATATGATACGGATAAGAAAAAAGAAACCAGAAATTGGTTTATTTTTTGTTTGTTTTCATTTTTTTGCCTTAGTAAGACCCAAGTTTCATGTATGTTTTATAGAAACAAAGGCAGACAAGACCCCATAGTTTCATCTTATCTGAGCTTAGCCTGACTCTTGTACTGACTTGAGCACAATACACATATAAATACGAACACCAAATATGTAGAAAAACTGTATTCCTGAAAACAGGTATGTCAAATCCATACCTGGGCTATGCAGTTCTGGCACCAGGTGTATATAGACCATACTCTGTTTGTCCAGAGTTTTATTTTATCTCTGATGTTGGGAAAGTTGAAGTTCCAAGATGATTTTAGCCAGCTTCTCCTATGGGATATATCTGTTGAAGAAATTATCACTCTGTAGGAAAAACAAAATTGAAAAAAAAAAAATTAAAAACTCTTAAGTTAGAATAACAGCCTCTAATTAAACAAGAAGCTGGTTTCATAGTATGTCTCAGAAACAGAGACTCTCCATAGCCAAAATTCTATAATTCAGGGATTCATTTATCCAACAAATATTTCCTATGTACTTACTATGCTCCAGGTACCAAGGGTTCAATAATGAATAACAGGCCGGGCGCGGTGGCTCACGCCTGTAATCCTAGCTCTTGGGAGGCCGAGGCGGGCGGATTGCTCAAGGTCAGGAGTTCAAAACCAGCCTGGCAGAGCAAGACCCGTTCTCTTCTTATAAATAGAAAGAAATTAATTGGCCACTGATATATATATATAAAAAATTAGCCGGGCATGGTGGCTCATGCCTGTAGTCCCAGCTACTCGGGAGGCTGAGGCAGAAGGATCGCTCAAGCCTAGGAGTTTGAGGTTGCTGTGAGCTAGGCTGACGCCACGGCACTCACTCTAGCCTGGACAAAAGTGAGACTCATGTCCAAAAAAAAAAAAAAAAAAAAAATAATGAATAACATAGATAAAATCCTGCCCTGATGGAGTTTATGGTCTCATGAGGGAATAAAGATAAAAAATGAATAAATAAATAAGTAAAATGTATGGGTTGATAGATAATGAATAAATGCTAAAGAGAAAAAAATAAAGCAAGAGAGGGGAAATGTGAAATGTTGGATGGGGTGAAATTTTAGGTAGGGAAGCCCCAAAAAGTCTAACTGAGAAGGTGACTTTTGAGAAAAAGCCTAAACTATTTAAGGAAGCTGGCAATGTATATATATGTGGGAGAAGAGCATTCCAGAGAGAGGGAATAGTAAGTGCAAAGGCCCTGAGGTGGAAGTTTTCCTGAAATGTTTGAGGAATAGCAAGAATGCCAGGATTACTAGAGTAGAGAGACTTATTAGAAAATAAGGTCAGAGACAGATCATGAAGGCCTTGTGGATCATACTAAGGACTTTAATTTTTACTCTGAAAGAAGAGGCCTGGTGTAGTGGCTCAAGCCTGTAATCCTAATACTTTGGGGGGCTGAGGCCAGAAGATTTCTTGAGGCCAAGAGTTCAAGACCAGCTTAAGCAACAGTGAGACTCCATCTCTACAAAACACAGAAAAATTAACCAGGAGTTTGAGGTTGTAGTGAACGATAATGATGTCACTGCACTGTATCCCAGGGGACATAGTGAAACCCTGTCTCAAAAAAAAAAAAAAAAGCAGCAGCAGCATTGGTGAGTTTTATTTATTTATTTATTTAAAAAAGGTTTTTTTTTTGAGACAGAGTCTCACTCTTTGCCCAGGCTAGAGTGCCATGGTGTCAGCCTAGCTCACAGCAACCTCAAACTCCTGGGCTCAAGAGATCCTTCTGCTTCAGTCTCCCAAGTAGCTGGGACTATAGGCATTCGCCACCATGCCCAGCTAATTTTTTTCTATTTTTAGTTGTTTGGATAAATTCCTTCTATTTATAGTAGAGACGGGTCTCTGCTCTTGCTCAGGCTGGTTTTAAACTCCTGATCTTGAGCAATCCTCCCGCCTTGGCCTCCCAAAGTGTTAGGGTTACAGACGTGAGCCACAGTGCCCAGCCAGCATTGGTGAGTTTTAAGTAGAGGAGTAACATGACATATGATTTTCACTGGCTCACTCTGGCTACTGTGCTGAGAATACACAGCTGGCGGGCAAGGACAGAAGCAAGACCATTAGGAGACTTACAATATTCAGGAGGGCTAGAAAAGAGTCAAGTATGATATCATCATGGTTATTGCATTTTAAGGGTCTGTTTTTAAAAACTTTCTGTAAAGAGAGTTATAGCAACAAAGTTACTGTGAAAAAGAGTCTCTTTTAATAGCACAGAGAATCAATGACTAAACTTTACCAAAACTAGGATTTAAATTCCAGGCCTATGCCTCTCTTCCATCACTTAGTTGTCAGACTTATACAATTAAATCCACCAGGAACGGGGAAAATACTTACCATGCATTTGAACATAATTCCTTGTGATTTTCACTTCACTTGAACTTTAAACTATGGCTGCCACATAAAATTCAGGATGTCCAGGTAAAATTTAATTTCAGATAAAGAATGAATAACTTTAGTATATAAGTATATTCCAAATGTTGCATGGGACATACTTATATTACAAAATTATTCATTGTTTATCTGAAATTCAAATTTAGCTGGGTGTTCTATATTTTCATTTGCTAAATCTGGTATATCTATCCTAAATTGATCAGAATTCTCTAGTATTGTCTCTGTTCCACATTATGGCTTACCTTTCAGATGAGGGCGGTGGAGGAGGTGGTGTAATTAGCTTGGGCTGGAGGTGAGAGGCTTCTTTTTTTTTGAATAATCTTTTGGCTTTGGCTTTTAGCTTTCTTCTTCGTTGTTTGAACTTGGGCATGATTTCTGTAGAAATTTTTTTTTTTTACATTTGTTATTAAAGAATAATAAATATATATACAAACTGCACAAATCTTAAGTGTATTGTTCAATGAATTATACTGTGAACACATCCTTGAAACTGTTGGGTTGTGGTCTGAAATGTCGGTTCTTGGTGTGCTCTTGGCTGAAGAATGACCAGACACACCAAAAGCAAGGTAAGCATGAAAATGAGGTTTATTGAGGAGGGAAAGATAGGATTATAGAGCAACAGCAGGATATAGGTGTACACAGCAAGATACATATGCCACAGATGACAATTGGACCTATTGTTGTAGCAAAAGAGAGACCTTGGTTATGGTCTGGGTCTTGTTTTATAGTGTCTGGATTGGGACCTTCCCGTGGTTCAGACATCATCCTGGAACCACTTTGATGGATAGTTGGGAGTTATATGACCTGAGTCTTACTGTGCATGTGGATCTCTCATGAGCCTCTCTGAAAGCCTGTTTGGGGGGATGGTGAACCACATTGGCACCCACTTTTGTCTCTAGGAGACCTGGAATCCCTTGCTATTTATCTGACATTAACAACCACCTTGGTTAAGAAATAGATCACTACCAGCATCCCAGAAGTCCCCTGGAGTGAAGGAAATGTAAACCTGGATTTAAACTCTTTCTGGAGAGACCTCTAAGTTTGTTTTGCTTCTGTTGCTTTTTTCCATTAAGTTAAATGAATTTCTCTTTCTTTCTTTCTTTCTTTCTTTCTTTCTTTCTTTCTTTCTTTCTTTCTTTCTTTCTTTCTTTAAAGCTATGCATGAAATGAAGTTTATTGAGCAAGGGCAAAATACGTTTACAGAGCAAGAGCAAGATATGTTCACCACAGATGACGAACGGACCCCCTGTTGTAACAAGAGGAGGCCTCCCTTTTTTTAAAACAGAGAAAATGGCTATAGTTGGGTTATGGTCAGTTATTAAAAGAATGTAAGTTTCTTTACCAGCAACATTTACTGAGCTTTCACTGTGATAGGTAGAGTTGGTAGTGGTAGGAGGACACATTAACCATTAATTGAATGCCCCTTTACTTTTAGGCAATTTCATGTATATTTTCTCAGTCAATCCACACTATCCTGCAAGGTATTATCCCTGGCAAGAAGGATTTTTATCCCCATGTTTACAAAAGAATACACTGAAGGTTAGAAAGATTAGATGATCTGCCAAAGCAATTCAATAACTTCTAAAATCCAAATCTGTAAATCTTCAAAGATAGTTCCTTCTAATACACGGTGTTGCAGTAGTAGATTAAATAGCCAACATACTGTACAAAGAAACAACTGTTACCCCAAATCTCATACTTGAGTGTCTTAAAATGTTTATTTTAAATCATTTAAAAAGCATTATCTAATATATTCATATTTTAATCCAGGTCCTTTTCTGAAGAAAATTAAGTCAGACCTAGTTTGAACTGAAGTTCCTGAAGGGCTTTGCTGGTTTTAGTTGTTGCTTGCTACTTGAGGAATAAAGATGTTATTCAAGTAGCAGAACTGAAAATGGTATCAAGGCCTGGGCCTCCTTCCCTACAAACTCACATTTGAATAGGAACAATTGGCCTTTAAAATACACATTCATTCCACTTTTGCTCACTCAGTAACCTTTCAGCACTTGGTATGCAGCACCACACTTACTCAGCTCTCAGATCCCACTGGCTGAAGAACTCCCCCAACCCTGCTGTGGGATGTAAAAACTGAGTAGCTTGGTTCCAAGACTTGCAGAGGGCACCCATAATGGCAAAGGGGACAGTGCATCAACAATCCTTTTCCTAGAAGGTTCTTGATAGCATCTTCTTAGACTATTGTCAGGTCCCAAATTAACAGGGTGCTTTTCTTAATTCTTCTTAAGAGTCTTGGAAGACACACCAAAAAAGAGTTGGCTGACCCTTTTACCTTTCTTATATCACTTTTACTTCCTGCTGAAATAATGAAGCTTCTTTCATTAAATACAAACGATGTCTAAAGGATTGATTGATTTTTTAAAAAAACTTAAACCAACACACACAAATATATTCTGAATGAAGATATTTAGGAGAGCCTCCCAGAAAGGAGCAATCTTATGGCTGCCTGAAAAAAGGTTAAATCTCATCAAATCCATGCCCAGGACCTTCTATGGAGAAATATCACTGGAAACCCTCATCCAAGGCTGAGTCCACTGGTTGGGTTCCCCAATATTCATATCAGGACTTGTATTTGTTCATAAATTGCAACCATAGGTTAGCTACAGAGACAAAAAGTTGTAAATACCATTCTTTGAGAATCAACTGGCTATTGGAATTTACAAGAAAGAGTACTGAATATTTTATTATTATTTATAACAGTTACATTGTTGTCACTTTATATCAGTGAATTTAGGCTGGGTGAGGTGGCTCACGCCTGTTATCCTAGCCCTCTGGGAGGCTGAGATAGGAGAATTGCTTGAGTTTAGGAGTTCAAGACCAGCCTGAGCAAGAGCAAGACCCTGTCTCTACTAAAAATAGAAAAAATTTGCCAAGCATTGTGGTGCCCACCTGTAGTCCCAGCTACTTCAAAGGCTGAGGGAGGAGGGTCGCTTGAGCCCAGGAGTTTGTGGTTACTGTGAGCTAGGCTGATGCCATAGCACTCTAGCTGGGGCAAAAGAGTAAGACTTTGTCTCAAAAAAGAAAGAAAAGAGGCCGGGCGCTGTGGCTCACGCCTGTAATCCTAGCTCTTGGGAGGCCGAGGCGGGGGGGATTGCTCAAGGTCAGGAGTTCAAAACCAGCCTGAGCAAGAGCGAGACCCCGTCTCTACTATAAATAGAAAGAAATTAATTGGCCAACCTGTATATATATAAAAAAATTAGCGGGCATGGTGGCACATGCCTGTAGTCCCAGCTACTCGGGAGGCTGAGGCAGAAGGATCACTCGAGCCCAGGAGTTTGAGGTTGCTGTGAGCTAGGCTGACGCCAGGGCACTCACTCTAGCCTGGGCAACAAAGCGAGACTCTGTCTCAAAAAAAAAAAAAAAAAAAAAAAAAAAAGAAAGAAAAGAAAAGACTTAAGAGACAATGGAAGCCCCCATTGGAGTAGAGGGTTGTAAAAAAGTGGGTGTGGGCACAGTATGAGGATGAATATTTCTCTGATTAATATTTCTCTGATTAATTCATCCTGTCCCTTCTCCTAACCATCCCTTCCCTTTCTGCCTTCTACTTCACTTGCCTTCACCATCTTTCCCATGGTCTTTTGCTATAGACTATTTCTCTCTATCCTTGTTATTTTGAAAAATTTCAAGCATTCAGAAAATAGAAAACTTGTAAGAATAGTATGATAAACACATACCATTCAATTAGATTTGCCAATTGTTTTACTTACATTTTTAGTAGTCTAGCTAATTTTCTTTCTATTTTTAGTAGAGACAGGGTCTCACTCTTTCTCAGGCTGGTCTTGAACTCCTGAGCTGAAACAATCCACTTGACTTGGCCTCCAAAAGTGCTAGGATTATAGGCGTGAGCCACCGTGCCCGGCTCCCAAGATTTAGCAATTGTTAATAGCCATATTTGTGCAGGTACTGTGTCCGTGTGTACATGCACAAATATGTACATATGTATACATACATAAAATTTTATAGGTTTTGGTTGAGTAGAATTAGTTGCAGACATAATGATACTCCACTCTTAGATACTTTAGCTTATGTTTCCTAATGTGGGCATGGAAATTCTTTTACAAAACCACAATCATAGTCAGGAAATTTAACCTTATTATGATCTTTCTTTCCCCAGCATCTAGAGTATAGCCAGCACTAAATGTTTCATTCCAGAAATGAATGAAAGAAATCCTTCCTGCTAAAGGTTAGTTAGCAAGTGTTCTTTTAGTTAAGGAATATGTTTCAACACAATTAAATTCTCTTAGGGAGGTTTTTAGTTCTTCAAATCATACCACATCTTCATATGATTAAAGGATGGGTCCGCCGGGCGTGGTGGCGAGACCCTGTCTCTACCAAAAATAGAAAGAAATTAATTGACCAACTAAAAATATATATACACCTCCTCCTCCTCCTCCTCCTGCTCCTCCACCCCCCCGACCTCCCCCCCCCAAAAAAATAAAAATAAAAATAAAAATATATATACAAAAAATTAGCCGGGCATGGTGGCGCATGCCTGTAGTCCTAGCTACTCAGGAGGCTGAGGCAGTAGGATCGCTGAGCCCAGAAGATTGAGGTTGCTGTGAGCCAGGCTGACGCCACGGCACTCACTCTAGCCTGGGCAACAAAGTGAGACTCTGTCTCCAAAAAAAAAAGGATGGGTCCAAAACTATTTTCCAGTAAGAAGATGCAATAAATAATACAGTAAGAATTACAATCTTTGGCAGGAGTAGGCACTGCTCCTTCTGTCAAAACTCTACACAATGATATAAAAAGTTCTTTGGTAAGGGGCACTTCCGAAACTGTAGCAGCAACGGAAATGACAGTTGCATTTCATACTATCTTCCTAAAACGTATTTTATGGAGATCTCTTACACTCCTCCACAAATAACCTTCAGTCAATTAATAAATTACCATTACCAGTTCAATTGATCCTTCCTGAACACCTATAGCGACATTTCTGGTACTTGCTTATATTTAATTTTACATTTTATGCTGTGCAGAATTGTTTTTTTAGTCACTTTCTTGTTTCTCTGAACAGACTGCAGCTCCCTAAAGTCTCATCCAGCACAGTGTTAGGCATGCAGTAAACAGGTCACACTTTTTAAATCGACATTCTTACAGAATTCCGGACGATGTCAAGGAATATAGTAGCAGTTAAGAATGTTACTTAAACAAAAAAAAAAAAATGTACCTTCTCAGACTTTAATGTGCATAAGAATCACGGGGTGGAATCTTGTTAAAATGCATATTTTGATTCCATAAGTCTGGGCGGAGCCCGATAATTTGCTCCTAGATATATTTTGCCGACTGTTAATTAAATGGAAGATGGTTAGGATGGAGCCAGGCCGAGCACTTCTTCCCTAGTCCCAAACGTCCCCTTCCCTGCTCCATCCCCTCTCTGCGTCTAGCCAAAGTCCCCACTACCTTAAGCCATTAAAGTACAAGCAACGACAGTCCCAGCTACAGAAGACCCGAGCCCAGATAACAAAGAAAGAATAGTCCCTGCACTTACTAGTCTAAAAGCCTGGGGATTAGATGGAGTCCGGGCAGTGGCCTCTCCCTCGCCATAAAGAAAAATTCAAAATTAAATCTTTGTCACGGAGGGACCAATCGTAGATATGGTCTCTCCACTATTCGCCCTCCCTGTAGCGTAGGGAATAGACTGGCTTGTGATTGGCTAAGATAGCACAATGTCCCAACCAATCAGAGCTGAGGCGCTTTCAGTATGAATAAGGAGCAGGCGGGAGAGAAGGGGAGGGGTCGCAGGAGAGGAAAGGTGTGTCACGTCCCCTATGCTGTCGGTGGAAGCTTTTGTGTAATTGGTTGGCTCTTCTTCCTATTTCACCAATCGCCAGTGCGTTTCTGCGGAGCTCTAACTATAAAATTTAAAGTAGGGAAGAGGAGGCAGCCAATGGAAAAAAAAATGTGTACAACAGCCAATCCTCCTGCGGCGTTTTGTGTCTCTGCCCAACAGGAAAATGTGTTTCATGAGGAGAGGCGTTACCTAGTCGCCAATGGGCGGGCGCCGGTGGAACCGAGGAGCCAATGAGTGCGAGTCTTTGAGTGACAGCTGTCCAATAGAGACCCTCAGTGCTAGTACGGCTAGCGGCTTAAGCGCCGCCGCGGTCTGAGGAATGTCAACTATTCAACATGGAGGCGGAGGTCGATAAGCTGGAACTGATGGTGAGTGCAAAGTAAAGGAGATCTACTAGGTAGTTTATTTTTCTCCAGTGGCCCCGAAGTTGGGGCGCAATTTGGAGTCGCTGGAAACTCTGGGCGGCAGAGGCTGGACCTGAGTCTGGTTCCCTCCTCCTGCACCAAAGGGAGCCGCCACTGCCTGGTGTCTAAACCGCCGCGGGGGAAGGGGTTACATCCGGGAAACTCGTGAGGGAAATGGCGGGAGATGCAGAGGGTGCGGGGCCTTTGGAATTCCTTGTTCCTCGCCCTCACCTTTCCATTCCTTAAGGAGCTGCACCTGGTGGTGACAGCGTTATGTGTTTCCACCAAAAAAAGATGTGACTGGAACGCTCTTTAAACGCCCCACGAATAGGAGAGGTCGTTCACACTCCCAGAAAGGGGGATGCTGCGTGGGGTGTAGAATAAACCGAGGGCGGCGGGAAGAAATCCCTTCAGGGCTGAACTGTTTGTTCAAGTTCTCAAAGACGGGCTGAGAAAGTCTGAAGAAGGATGCTAGACTTGCTCGCACAACTTCTTAGCAGCCAGGGAAGCCCCTAGACCCATTTCTGTTTGGCCCAGAGGTGGCAAACCTTGGGTGAGGGAGAGGTGTAAGCAATGGAGATCTGAACCAAGAGCTCCTTTCCTGGAGCGCGGGCAGTATTGGAACAGGGTAAGAACCCTGCTCTCTAGTTGCCCAGTTTCATTCATCTGTGAAAGTAGAAGGCGGGGGCGAAGACTAGGAAAGGACTCCCGTTGTTGCTGGCGTGTTTGGCCTGCACGAGGGCGCCAAGCTGGGAGGTTGTCCTTCTAGTTTTCTTTAAGATCTTTCCCTCTCTTGTCCTCTTTATTCCCATCCTCAGGTCCCTAGACTTCCAGCTTAGCTTGATCGCCCGCGCTTTTCCTTATTAGTTGTCTTGTTCTGTGTTAATGAATTGGAGTACCTCTCATATACAAATTTGATTTGAAAACTTTCATTTGCTGTTAACATTTTGTATTTAAATTTTCTTTATGGAGGCGATGGGAGGATGGAGAGGGGTGGGGAGAATTGGTAGGGAAGAAGTAAAAATTTTCTTCAGATACCCAAACCTGTAATAATGAACTTTCTGTCAAAGTTTTATTTTTATCATTAACTGCCTTTTTTTTTTTTTTTGGAGACAAGAGTCTCACTTTGTTGTCCAGGCTAGAGTGAGTGCCATGGCGTCAGCCTAGATCACAGCAACCTCAAACTCCTGGGCTCAAGCAATACTCCTGCCTCAGCCTCCCGAGTAGCTGGGACTACAGGCATGCGCCACCATGCCCGGCTAATTTTTTCTATATATATTAGTTGGCCAATTAATTTCTTTCTATTTATAGTAGAGACGGGATCTTGCTCTTGCTCAGGCTGATTTCGAACTCCTGACCTTGAGCAATGCACCTGCCTCCGCCTCCCAGAGTGCTAGGATTAGGGGCGTGAGCCACCTCACCTGGCCTAACTGCCTTTTAAAAAACAAACAAAATGCTAAGTATTGTATTAATAATTTGATTCTATCAGCAGGCATAAATGTTTAGTTTGTCATGCCCCTTTTCCATTCTGAATTCCTACCTCTAGATATAGATATTTCTGCTTAATTGTTAGATGTTATTACTGCTTTTAACAGGTTGTTGCTTTTTTTTTTTCAAGTTGACTGTTTAATGTTTAAGCTTTTTCTGGCCTTTGGATTAGAGTCAGCATTCCCACAGGACTTATTTAGATTGGACAAATTCTATTTTAAGGGAACAAGGATTAAGTAAACATCTTGAAAAAGGGAGGTTTTAGTTAATTATAGGCGGCCATACTTTTAAGCTTTTAGATATTTGAATGATGGGGTAGTTTTTAAATTCTTTTTGAAGAGAAGAAGAAAAGAAAGGAGTTTTTTTTCTTTTTTCCCCCCTCCCTTTTTTTACCCAAGTTCACAGAGATAGTATAATATGCTGTTAGTCCTACTATATATATATAACATATATATGTGTATATATGTATGTATATATAACATATATGTGTATATATGTATATGTATATATATATAGTTTTTAAAGAAACTGGGGTCTCTGCTATGTTGCCCTGGTTGCTGGTCTTGAAATTCTGGCCTCCAGCTATCCTGTCACCTCAGTCTCCTCAGTAGTTGTATGACAGGTACAAACCACTGTGCCTGGCTTTTCTTTTCTTAAATTCCTTGCAATTAGTAGTAATTGTTTTTTTCTTTCAAGTTATTAGTTTGTTTCCATAATTATTAATATTAGGGTTTAATATTAGGACTTTCATCATGATTTTTAGTATTACTGCTGTGTATTGATTAGATAGTAGAAGACAGTACCTCTCTTTCAGATTTGTCATGTGATTGTAGAAAAAAATGTTATATCCATGAACCGGTTTAGTTTCTAACATTTTAAAGATAAATGATTTTCTTGGCAATCTTCTGATTTTCGGTTTTACATTACTTAAATAATTTGCCAATGAACTAGTATTGATTATTAATAGGTGAAAAGATTATGCATATTATTTAACTTTGAAAAGAACGTGCAGGGCCCCTCTGTCTCCTGTCTTGAGTTGTTGCATGGTACAGTTGGGTTATTTGCAGTACATCCTGGCAATTCCAGCCCTTTGGGTGGTGGATGTGGGAGGATTGCTTGAGACCAGGAGTTTGAGACCAGCCTGGGCAACATAGCAAGACTCTGTCTCTACCAAAAAATTTTGCGGGGTGTGGTGGTGAGCACCTATAGTGTCAGCCACTGGGGAGGCTGAGGCAGGAGGATTGCTTGAGCCAGAGAGTTCGAGGGTACAATAAGCTATGATCCTGTCACTGCAGTCCAGTTGCCCTTTCTCAAAAAAAAAAAAGAAAGAAAGAGTTTATATCCTAATTTTGTAGATCACCTAATCCTCTTAATTTAAAAATTTTTCATATTTCTCTTGTTTGTTTTAACTTCCAATTCAGAAAGGCAAACATTTCTCTTTTAAACATTTGTCTTTAAAACTAGATACTTGGCTAGCAGAGTTAAATATTCTATAATTTGAGTTATGTGGCCTAAGATTTGAGGCCAAGATTCTCTTGTTCTAGCTGTCCTGAATGAGTCCACTTCTTAGTAGGCTTAATCCTACTAAGTAGCTGAACTGAACCATTTAATGGGAGGTTGGTAAAAAGAATGAAAATGTATTTCTGCATCAATCAACATTACTAATGGGGGAATAAGCTCATTGTAGGGCAATCTTTGTTCTCTAATAAATTTTTTCTTCACTGATTAAGTGGTATTTGTCTAGTGCCTTCCTTTTGTGGTACCACTACTGATTGTACACAAAAGGTGATGCATTATGATACTATGGTACTATTTCTATTTTGGGGTTTATATCTGATTTTTGATTAACATTCTAAAAGTTTAGAATGTTAATTGGCTTGAAACTCCTGCTCCCTTGGTCATTATTTTCTCTTTGATATTTCTAAATTTGAAGGAAATGGAGATGCTTTCCTCCTATATTTAAGATATTTTAGGCGTTAACTGAAATTTTTAAATCTCCTTCTATAGTATTCATTTACTTTTTTTTTCTTGATATCACCATGATTTCACCCATAGTATTCATTTAGATGGAATTAATGTTGTTCTGTTTAGAGCACACTGATTCCCTCCCTGGCAGTCTCTTCCCTTGTTATAATAGCCCTCAGTAAACGCTTGAGATGAAAAACCATGAGATGGTAAGTGCTTTTTGTTTTTTTGTTATTGTAGATTCCAGAGTGATAGATTGAATATGCAGAGATTGAGAAACTTCTTATTTTACTTTTCATTTGTTTTCTTTGATATTCTTATTCAAAGGACTCATTATATATGGCAGTTAATCAATTGCCTTTGAGAAGGAGCTAATCAATATCTCTGCAGAGAACAGAAATATTTTTCACAACTTTGCCTTAGTAGTAATTATAACCAGTTTTGTTAATACTGATCCTAAGGTATTAACAATAAACATGTTAATTACCTCTAAGGCCTAGGACAACTTACAAAATTCTTTTTTACACCTATACATGTTTCTGTTTGAATGTTAATTGTGTTTTAGTTATCAAAAAACAATATCACTTTGATGTTTAAGTCTTATTCTTTCTTTTTAAACATTAATTTAACATAAATGTTTTCTGGTTTTGGATGTCTTCTGTCCAAAATGGCAACCCCACTTTAAATTCTTTTCACACTGAAGCTTCAAATGATGCAAGATGCTTTTGTGTTCCTTTCCTACTTGTTACTGCTAACGAATGCTCTGACTTTATTGCACTACTGTACTTTACAGCTAGCAGTGCAATAGTATTGTCAAAGCATCTGAAAGCAGGATGCACGCCAGAATTTTGATTCTTGCCTTATGTCTTTCTTTAGTATCTGTGAATAATTAATCACAACCTTTGTTGCTGAAAACTATAATTTTGTTACTAACAGTGTATCTTTTAGAAAGTCACGATTTGAAAAGAAAAACTAATTAAAAACTCACTATCGTATTGCGTTATGAAACATATTGAGAGAATACTTTTTATATCTAAGTTGTTACGGCTTTTCTGAATGAGTAGTATCTTTATAATTTGCTGTTTTCTGTTAAAATTTTGTATAGGTTCTGGTAAATCTTAGGTTTTATTTAATTGAGTTTTATGATGACCTGGGTAAGTGATGAAAACAATCTCTGCTGTATATTTCCTGTGGTAACTTGTCCCAAGCCTTAATCGGCACTAATTTTGTGTATTATGTAGGAAATGTTTGAGTTTAAAACCTAAGAATCCTTGGTTTTTTATGTTTTTTGTTTGTTTTTTTGAGACAGAGTCTCACTCTGTCCCCTTGAGGTAGAGTACTCTGTCACCCGGCAGTAGAGTGCAGTGGTGTCATCTTAGATCACTGCCTTAGCCTCCCGAGTAGCTGGGACTACAGGTGTACACTACTACACCTGGCTAATTTTTCTATTTTTAGTAGAGACAGGGTCTCTGTTCTTGCTCAGTCTGGTCTTGAACTCCTGACCTCAAGTA